TCCTATTTGTGTTGTCACTGGCACTGTATAAATAGTGAGGAACTGTATATTTAGCTTTTATTGGTTTTGTGAATTCTTGCATTAAGATTAGACAGTACTAGACTGAACTGTAAGATTAATGTAGATGTGAAAACATATGGTTAATTATGTACGGAAAAGTCAGTGTTTTTCTCAAATCGTCCTTTCTCTAATTTGTGTGTTGGGCAAGTGTTTTTCCCCTGCACCACTTCTGTGATCCTCTCCTATATTTAATAAGTCTGCAAGTTCACAGACAGCAACTAAACTGTCAGGGGACACAGAAGTAATATGCTGTATGAGACTGGTGTCTGTGTGTGTATGTTGGATTCAGAGCGGGCCAACCAGAGCATACAGCAGCTGAGCAGTACTCTGGAGCAGCTGAGCCCCGATGGAGAAGAGGCGGAGGAGCTCAGAGGAAGTGATGGCAGCCTCCTCACCGCCATGGCCGAGGAGGAAAGGGCTGCATGGAGCCAAAAGACACAGAGCGAAGCAGGTGACTCACTGACGAGCTGTGGGACGACTGACAAAGACATAGTAGTGCACCTGGAGATTTCCCTGCTCATAACCTTGTTGACAGACAAGACGCAAAGTTATAATAAAATGCTTCCGTGTGTGTGTGTGTTTGTGTGTCTGCACGCTTGTTTGTGTGTCTTTTGGTGTTGTAGTTAATCAGCTGAAGAGCCTTCTGCTGAAGCAGTGCAGAGAGATTCCCTCCGCTCTCTCTCCTTCAAAGAAACAGTCTCCATCCAAGGTAGAGTGTGCAGCTTTGTGTGGCTAAACATTTAAATGCATTTGACCTAAGGGAAGCCTATTACATAATTATATTTGAGGCTAGAAAACATTCTCCAGAGTTAAATGTGGTCATTTCATCATCATTCTGATATCGGGGAATATTTCCCTTGCTTTATTTTTTATCATCGCTCTTCTTTCCTCTGTTAGAGACTACGGGAGGAGGGAAGGTCCAGTTTGCCTGCTTTTCACGATTTGGTGCCAATGATTCACAACCAGTCAGAGTACATCCAACACCTGGAAGCTGAGGTCAAATTCTGCAAGGTATGTGTGCAGAGAAAAGTGTGTGCGTGTTTTTTTTTATGTGCATTTCTTTTTACGTCTCCTTTCTGTGGATGTGACTTCAGGAAGAGCTGCAGGGGATGAAGCAGCGGATCAGAGTGGTGGTGGTGGAGAATGAGAAGTTGCAGTCGGACCTTAAATCCAAAGCTGTGAATGAATCTCTGAAAGACTACACATTTCAAAACTCCACGGTAACGTGTTTTTGGTTTTTGTTCTCCGGGTTCAGTGTGTAGGATTTAGGATTTAGTGGCATCTAGTGGTGGAGTTGCAGATTACAGCTAACTAACACTAACAGCTTGCATCAGTATTTGCGACTTGGAAATGAGAAGGGGCTGCGAAGTGTGGAGGAGAAACTAGGCCCTATCTAGAAGCAGTTTTTGGTTTGTCTCTCCTGGGCTACTGTAGAAACACAGTGGTTGAACATGGTGGACTTGGTAGAAGAGGACTCTCTCCCTCTGTAGATAAAAACAGCTTATTCTGTAAAAAAAAAAATTTTCAGGTGATACACACCATAGGTACACAAAAAAAACATACCATAACATACCTATAAATATTATATTCAGTTAATAGGTAAATGTTACACACTGGACCTTTAAGTAAAATGTATGTTCATTCTTATATCTATAAGGACACATACATCATAATATCTCAAATAATAAAGTTGCCTCTGTCCGTTACGTTACTCAAATTCAGTATAGTTTTAGATATCAGACCTATCTTCACGGAAAGTCTGTTGTTGAGTTGTTACATCCAGCCTGCGTTGGAAAATGATTAGAGGTGATGTAAACTACACATATACAGTAGAAGTGTTAATAGGTTTAAGCATGGGGTGTCACTGAAATTAGTCTAATTAATGATCACCTTAGGAAACGTGATTTATCACCTGTCGATATGTGTTTCTCAGGTAAATGAGAGTATAGCAGCAAATAGCCACAAGGGCTCCAATACAAGCTACAGTGTGCTGCAGAAAGCAGAACACACTACATGGAAAAATGAGCTGGTAAGGATGATGGATCTGTTCTCTCTTTCAGTTACTGTTCAGTTATCTTTCTCCATCTCTAACCCATATTCTTCTCAGCAGGGATAACATTTCTGCATGATTTTTGTGTTTATTCCCGACAAGAAAAGTTAGAGCTAATTCTTCTGGGGACATCTGCAAATATGAAATAATTTTACAAATGTGTTTCTTAAAAGGAATATTAATGGTTCCAGCTTGTTTTGTGCGTTAATCTGAAATTTATCCCACTGAAACTATTTAAAGATGAAAAACAACCATCACACCAAGAACAAATATATATTTCTAGTGTTCAATAGTTGTTATGGAATCCAATCCTATTCTTGATTCAGCTGATTCAACTTCTTCTGTTCATCAGGAACAATTGAAAGGGATCTACCAGGCTCAGATTGAAAGCTTGGAGGCTCAGGTCATCTCCCTCAGGTCAGTGTACACTCATGCATGAGCTGAAGCCAGTGTCTTTTCTTTTTTTATTACTTAAGCATAGCCGTACTCATTTCCTTCCTTGCCCCTTTTCTCTCTCTATTTCTCCATCTCTAGGAAGGATCTGTCAGTCAGCCAGAAGGAGTGTGAGGAGGTGAAGGTTCGCCTGAGACACCGGGAAAAACAGGCTGCAGATGCACTGAGGGCTGATGGATCTCCCCGTGTAGCGGGATTGTGTCTGAAGTGTGCACAGCACGAGGCTGTATTGGCTGGGACTCACACAAATCTGCATGTCCAGGCTATTGACAGGCTCACAAAGTCAGTGGTCACACGCACACACACACACA